GGGGGGGGCGGAGAGGGTCAGGGCATCATACGGACTCTGATTCCGGATCTAGGGTTCCAGAGCCAGGGCACGGGGTGCAGATGGGGCAGCTACACTCACCCGCAGGCCCCAGGACCCAGGAAAGAGGACAGGAGGTAATTAAGGTCTAGGTGAAATCAACCTATAGAGCCGCCCCCTTTTAGAGACGCGCTCTCCACCCGGCCATCAGATAGGCTCCCCTCCGGCCTGACGAGGGTCTTCAGCCTCCTCCTTCACAGCCCCAACCCTCGCCCCCGGCCCTCGCGGTCCCTCCTCCGGGCCCCCGGCTCCTCCGCCCCCGGAGGCCGGACTCTGCCCCCGCCCTGCCTTCCCCCTCCCACCGGGGGCGGTGGCCCGTGGCGGGCGCGCTCATTGGCTGCGGCGCGAGTGAGGGCCGGGGCCGGCAGCGCTGATTGGCCGGCTCGGCTCGGTGGAGCTAGGAAACCCCGCGAGTCGCTGGGGGAAGTGGGGCAGAGACTGGACGCACCCGGAGCTCAGAGCGCAGGAACCTCAAGTCGGAGCCCGGCAAATCGGAGTCTGCAGACCGGAGCCTGGGCCTGTAGGTAAGGGCCCGGCGTCGGGTCGCGTGGGGGCGGGCCCTTCCACGCGAGATGGAGTCCTTTGACCATGCACCCAGGGAGCAAAAACGGGGCATCTTTCCCAGAATCGGGGCCCTCATCCTCTCGAGACGCGGGTCCCCTCCCCCAAAAAGAGAGGGTCTCTCACCTCCCAGAGAGCAAAACAGCCTCCTTTTCCCATCAGAAATGGGCTCTTCCTCCTAGCCCCGGGCTCTGGAGATGGGATCTCCCCTCCCTAACTTACCCATTGGGATGGAATGTACCCTCCCAAAGTGGGGTCTAACCTCCGCAGGTATCTAGCCCCCCCCCCCGATCTCTTCGGAGACGGATGCACCTTCCGCCTCCCTCAGAAACTAAGTTTGGATCTCTTCTCCCACCCTCGCTTCAGAATGATGAGGGTCTTAGTTGTAGATAGGTCATTCTCTCTCCAGGGAAAATGAAGGCCCCCAGATGTCCTGGGAAATAAGCCCCTCCTTAAGGCAGGGAAGTCTCGGGGCAGAGACTCACCATGTCACCCTCAAACCCAATAGGGACCTCCTTGCGTACCCCACCTCAGCACCTGGACTCTAGGATTTGCCTTCAGATATGGATGATTCCCTCCCCCTCCCCCACCCCACCAAGACCCTCTTTCCACCCCTTACAGAGAAATGGTTGCCTCAGACACCACCACAGTAAAGCATTTGGGGGAAGGTACCCTCTTCCTCCAACAGATGTGAGGCAAGGGCTTTCATACTCAGCAATAGGACTGGGGTCTGGCCACCCATCTGAACCAAGTCGCCCACCTCACTCTGCCTCTCTCTAACCCTTTCAAGCCAACAGCCTCTCACTAACACCCTACACCCACTCTCCCCGCCTCTCCCAAATCCCATCCTTCCCCGACTGTACTCCCACACCTCACTGCTCCACCTAATCCCATCCCACCTTTCCTCTCCCACCCTGGCCAGAGATGAGACCAGATGAGGTTTAATAAGAATAAAGCCCTTAAAGCCAGGATCCTGAGCCTAGGGACAGGCCCTTCTACTGCCCTCTGAACTCTGACAGCAGAGATGGCCTCTGAGGCAGCAGGACCACCAGGGACACCCCCCATCCCCCACACAAAGGGCTGGTGTTCAGGATGTTCTCCCCTGAGGCAGCCCAACCTCTCCCCTGGAGAAGGGAGTGTCAGATGCAGAGAGGAGGGCCCCAACTTGCTCCCTGGGGCTGTCCCCTTACCTCCAGCTCCTGTGGGCACTGCTCAGTGGAATTCCCTGAGCACTTGGCCAGAGAAGGTAGATGCTGCAGGAACCATCCATTGGGCTGGAGACAGCGTTGGCTTTGCTGGGCTAAGGGTCAGGATGTTGGTGACTTGAGGAGGCCTGGGAACAGCTCTTCCCTGGCAGGCAAGGGTGGAGGACAGGAAAGAGAAAGGCAAGGAGCTTTGCCTTGCTTTTTAGAGCTGCACCCGGGGCATGGGGTATGGAGAAATGTGTGTCCTGGATGCCCAAAGAGATGAGCCCCAGGGAGAGGTAAGTCGGGAGTTCTAGGCTTCTAGATTAAAGATCCTGCCCCTTCATTTGACAGTTGAGCAAACAGAGACACAAGGAGGGGAAGACACTTGCTCAAGGTCATCCAGCTAGTGGGTGGCAAACCTGGTCACAGTCTCTGCAGGGATTATGGGGTGCTTGCATCTGGGACAGGAGCTCCAGTGCTCACATTTACAGCCGGGACTGACCTCTCCACTTGCTAGCAGAGGTGCAGAGGCCCTGAGAATGTAATGCAGCTAGGAAGGGGCAGAGCTGAAACGCAGCACTGCACCCGCCCCCCCAAACAGGCCAACAGGCCACGTTGTGGAATCCACTCCTGGGGGGCCACACTTAACCACTCACCCCATGGGAGCTTTTTGCTGTGCCTACCACCACACTGACACTTGCCAAAAACCAAATCAGTCAAGGATGGCAAACGAGATGGGGTGCAATGTACTGGTGCCCGAGACCGCCGCAGGAGCCTCAGTTGCATAGCTGGGTTTGCTCCAGGAACTTTGGACAGGCCCCTTCCCTCCTGTCTCTCCAGCAATCTCGTATCCCTGCTTAGAGCATGGCTTCTGTTCCTGAGGCACTGAATGGGGCCAGAGCTGAAACTAGCTGCAGGGCTCCAGAACCATCCAGTGGGACAACAGCGACCAGGTCCCTGCAGATGGGAGGATCTTGAGGCGGGGGCTCCCCCCCGCCTCCAGCTAAAGGGTTGGCTGTCATGTTCCGATTTAGAGCAGGGAGCCAAGTCCAAGCTGCCAAGGCAAAAGTTCCAGAGCATGAGGGGGAACTGGAGTGCATAGAGGTCAAGAGATCAGTCCCTGGACCCCTCTTATCTGGGTCTAGAGCCCAGATCTGCTACTTGCTGTGTGATCTTGAGGAGTTTATTAACCTTATCCACATAAAACGAGTTAATCCTCGTAAAGTGCTTAGCTATTACAACCAATGGGTGGAAGCAATGATTGTGATTTCAAGTGCAAAGTCATAAAACCTTTGTGCTTTTAGGACCACAGACCGTAAAGTCAGATGGAGCCAAGAGTGAATGGCTGGGGGGGTTTGGGCAGGTCATTCCCTCTCTGAGGCTCACTTCCCTCATCTTTGAATGAGGTTCGTTGCATCAGATAAGAGACAGCCGCAGAGCAGGCCTTCTATCCTCGGCAGTGTTGACATTGGGGGCGGAATAATTTTCTGTCTCGGGGGCCGTCCTGTGCACTGAGGGTGTTTAGCTCTGTTCTGGCCCTTCTCCCTACTAGATGCCAGTACAGGCCTCTCTAGTTATGCCAACTAAACTGTCTCCAAGCATTGGCAGACGTCCCCTGGGGGGCAGAATGACACCCACCCCTCCCACTGAGAACTGCTGGCCTAACGCACATGTCTTGCACATCCTTGATCCTTCTTCTCCTTCCTCGGGCTCCTTGTTCTGCCTTCTGCATGATGGAGGGGGTGGTGTCCAGCCGCTGAGCCTCTCAGTGTTAACAATGATCTCAATCCTTCACATAAAACAGGACTTTGCCACCTCCAGAGCACCTTCATGTGCATTGATCTGGGCCTCCCATTTTACAGATGAGCAAACTAAGGCTCGCAGAGGTTAAATGGCTTGCCTTCCCCTTCCCTGCTAGAGGTCAAACAAATGTTCATGCCAGCAACAGTTTCAGAAATAACCTGGTTCTGGAGCCTTCTTCAGAAGGTCATCTGGCCGTCTCTTCCAGAACTCACACTGCCCTCCCACCTCTAGGACTCTCCTCTAGCTGTGTTCACTCGTGCATGCAGCTCAGCGAACACAGGAATGTCTGCGGCAGAACTTTGCAGCACCAGCACGGGGAGGGGCTACATCACATGTGTTCACACAGGGAAATGAGCAGTCTTTTTAGAAAAATGAGGGAGAGATACATTCCTGACCTGGAAAGTTCCCCGAGATATTTAGTGAAAACAATAAAGTAGCAGAATTAATATATATAGTATATTTAAAAAAAGATATATGTGAATGCATATGGGAATGATTAGCTAGGCAAGCAAGGGGTATGAAAGGGACCTATGTATATATAAGAATATATTCATGGTAGGGGTACCTGGATGGCTCAGTCGGTTAAGCATCTGCCATCAGCTCTGGTCATGATCCCAGGGTCCTGGGATCAAGCCCCGCATCAGGCTCCCTGTTCCTCCCTCTCCTCCCTGCTCATGCTTTTGTGCGTGCGCGCGCTCTCTCTCTCTCTCAAATAAATAAATAAAATCTTCCAAAAAATAGAATATATTCATGGGGGAAGAAGAGGAGGAGGAATCCTCTAGCCAGCTTCCTGTGCATTACAGATGAGCAAAGCACAGCACACACAGGTTGACAGACTTGCTCTGGGTCACCCTGCCGAGAGGTACAGCCATGGGACTCCAGCCCACAAGAGGAGCCCTGCCGCTGTCTCCAGTGTCAGCGTGCTGGGTGCAGGCGAGGTCTGAGGACCGCACACTCCTGCCTGGACCCGTCCCTCTCTCTGGGGAAATGCACATGCCAGCAATTCTGGTGGCTGAGACTTGGGCCTCTGCATTTGTGAGAGTTTGGGAGCCATGAGAGAGGAATCTGAGGCTTCCCCGCCCCAGGCTGAACTTCTGCCCTGGCTTTGGGGAACTCCTTAAGCATTCCAATGGGCTCTGGGGTCAGAGTGCCTACAGCTGAACTGGGCTCCTACCAGCGTGCTGGCCTCATGCCGTGACCACTCTACCTCTCAGCATCTCATTTCCCTGTCTTTGGAAAGGGGTTAATAGTAGAAAGCAAAAAGAGTAGTGGGAAGAGGGGCAGTAATAGGACCTGCTCATTACTGAGCAGGATTACTGAGAGGATTAACCAAAAACTGTTCCAACACCTGGCCTTCTCTGCTTCTATGAACACGTACATACAAGTTTTGGTTTAAAGACAATTTTGGTTTCTGTTCTTTTGGCGATATGCCCAGGCGTGAACCACTCAGGTCACATGATCAGTCACATGGTAATTCTTTGTTTAACCTTTTGAGGAACTGCCAAATGACACCATTGTACATTCCCACCAGCAAGGAACGTGTGAAGGTTCCAATTTTCCACATCCTTACCAATGCTTGTTATTTTCCAATTATCATTATTTTTACTATTACCACCATTCCAGCAGGTGTGAAGTGGTATCTCATTGTGTTTTTGATTTGCAGTTCCCTAGTGACTAGTATTGTTGAGCATCTTCTCGTGTGCTTGTTGGCCATTTGTATATTTTCTTTGGAGAAACATCTATATAAGTCCCTTGCTCATTTTTCAGTTGGGTTGTCTTTTCGTGATTGAGGTTTTGGGTTTTTTTAAATTCTATTTATTTATTTATTTATTTAGAGAGAGATAGCGCAAGTTGGGGCAGAGGGAGAAGGAGAGGATCCCAAGCAGGCTCCACCTTCAGTGCAGAGCCCTATCTGGGGCTCGATCCCACAACCCTGAGATCATGACCTGAGCTGAAATCAAGAGTCAGACACT